TTGGTCTCAAGATAATCCTCTGGATTAGACAGAACTGATTTAATCTTTCGTGACTTTTTGTTTTAGCTATAAAAATGTGAATTATTTTGTAATTTGGTTTAAAGCTGCATTATAAAACCCATAAGCCATTATCATCTTGGTCACCCACCTCTGCACATGCTCCAGCTTGTGAAAATCCTTCTGAAACTGTGGTGCCCTGAACTGGACACAAAGTACATCAGGTGGGGTCTGACCAAGGAAGAACAGAGTGGTACCATACTTTCCTTCAACTGGACACTGTACTTTAGTGGATCTTTATACATCTTTATAGTAAGCAGTACAGAATTCTAGCTCATTCAAGTCTGGCCTAATAAAACTGAAGCAAGTCACACCATATGCCAGGAGAGAGAAAACCCATCATTTTAAAATGTTTACTTATATCTGGTAGAAAGATATAATTCATGAAGCATCACTGGGATATTCTATTTTAGAGCAACAAAAGAATTAATCAAACTCAGATCCATCTAGCCCAGTTGTCTTTTTCCAAAATTGACCTTTGCAGTTTATAGGCAGGTGAGCTCTGCCTCTATTATTTCCTTTCCCCTGTACCCAGAAGGAAAGTATCTATGAGGTAAATTTTAAAATACTTAGAACTAGATTTGGGCAAATCTGTCCATTTGAGTTTCTCTCCGTTCCTCAGTTTTCCATCTCAATTTCAATTTTCCACATTTCCACTTTTGTTTGTGATATGTATAGATATAGAACGACAATTCATTAGAATTTTAGTACAAATTTCTCCTAATATGCATCATTGCATATGCAATTTCCCCTAATATGCCCATGTCTGCAGAACAATTTTCCCTAATATAATGCACCTTTGTCTGTTATTTTCAGTAAATATGTGCACAGTTTGGCTTAGTATAAGCATTCTTGTACTGGAGAATTTCATTGGCAAATTTCGTTGCAAAATTCAAAGAAGTGCAAATATTGAAGAGGGGCTGTGTTTCAGTTCATGTCATAGGATCCAATTCCTAGGGGCCTGGGGGACATTGCCCGCCTAAAATATTTGAGGGGGTCACCCCCCCAAAAAAAGTTGATGCGCATTGCCATTCAAACAGTGTATGTGCACCGCATCATGTGATCAGTTATGCGGGGTGGGGCTTCCCTGGCTTCCCCAATATTTATTCAAGTTGGCACTCCTGGTTCATGTATTGTTTCAGAGAGCATGAATTAGATAGGTTTCTGCCCCATTCATTTCTATGTAGGCCTAATGATGCTACTGAAGTTGGATTGGAGTTGGATTGTTCAAAGTTTGAAACTTCCAGTCAATTATGAGCTGAGCCCAGCTTCTCCAATGTTTGAACTTGGAATTAGGTCAGTGCCAGCCCTGTTGGAGCTACATCCTTTCTCTTCTCAGTTGAAATGAACCACCCAGCAGAGTGCAGAAGGATGTTTTGAGTAGGATGTTTCACCAGTTCAAGCATAGGGAACCTCTTAGCTCTGGGTCTGATTAGGCCTAACAAGGGTTCCTACTTTCTTCCCAAGCCACAGCCACCTACCCCATGCGATGTCAGGGACAGGCAGCTGAAGGCACAGCTGCAAAGGTGCAGTCAGGACTCCCGGTTGTTCCTTGCAACTAAGTTAGACATCCCTTTACATAGCTTAGCATGTGCTTTGTGAGCCCCTGACAATTCTCCCTTCTCCTTCCCTAGTGCCAGGTCTGAGGCTAGGCTCTGCACTTAAAATAATTGATATGGAAATGTTGTTAGTTTGTAGCAAATGGCAAAAGTTACAAAGTCACCTTCTCAAGAATGATTAGTACTGAGTTAAAGCAACAGGGGATAAGAAAATAGACAAGATGTTAAACAATTACTTAAGCATACCCTGTACAGCTGAAATCAATGAACATTTGCCTGCTTTCAGAAATTAGATTTGCCCAAACAAAAGAGGAGAAATTAGAAAGTATCCAGATAACAGAGCTAACAGAGCTATGGTTATTAAAGGGGCTGCGTTTCTTACAAGGGCATATAGGTTCCAGCACCAAAAAATGCATGCATCATAGTGCAAGCACACTTAAGAGAGCCGGGAAACAAATGGGGGTAATTTGGTAGATACTGCTTGTATAAGTATATTAAGCCCCAGAGAAAAACATTTAAGAACAGATAAGTTGCCTTAATCATGGCAGCAGATTACAGTCCCCCGTTTATTTCAGGCATTGGCTCTGTCTTAATCATTAAAACAATCACAGACAGAACTTCAAAAAATTCAGCTGCATCTGAATGAAAATGTAGGTTTAGGGCAGAGCTATAGATGACTGCCAAGAGAGATGGCAAAGCACAGTTCAGGAGCTGAAAGTGCTTTGAATTATGCCGAAAAGCTGGTCAACTGCAGAGCTACTTTTGTTCATAGCTTTGGGACTATAGGTAGGTAAAAGACTGGTTCAGGATTGGCGTGAGGAATGGTTGAAGCTGTCAACTTCACTTTTTCCAAGCTTAAATTCGGTTCTCTACATTTCCAGATCAGTTTGCAAAAAAAAAGGAGAAAAGGTTAAACTCCTCATGAAAACTCATCAGCATTTTACTTACTGCAATTTCTCTTAATATACACATTTTCAATGTGATTTTGCCTAATACACACATTTTTGCAAAGCAGTCTTCCCTAATGTAAGGGCAACTACACTGTGTGGACCCTGTGAAAAATCTACATGCATAAGGAGCACGGCTCCCATAATAAGCACCTGAAATGGAGCCTTCATGTTGTTCAGGCATAGTAAACCATCAAATGTTCAGTTGTGGGGGGAAGCATCTGCTTAGCGTGAAGAAGGGCTATGGATAATTCCCCACATTTCCAGGTAGGTCTGGGAGAGAACTGCTGGAAATTAGTGCAGACAATGGTGATCTAGATACTTCAAGGACTGCCTGTCTCCATATGAACCTACCCAGGCCCTGGGATCATCTTCTGAGACCCTTCTTTGTGTGCCTCCTCCACGAGAGGTCCGGAGGGTGGCAACACCAGAATCAGCCATCTCAGCAGTGACTAAGTGCCATAACACATCATATAACCTCTTTTCAGCATACTGTGCTATATTCTAGAGCAGGCGTGGCCAAACTTGGCCCTCCAGCTGTTTTGGACTACAACTCCCATCATCCCTAGCTAACAGGACCAGTGGTCAGGGATGATGGGAATTGTAATCCCAAATTGTAGTCCTCTTCATCCTGGAGAAGAGTGACTAGTGGGGTGCCACAGGGTTCTGTCTTGGGCCTGGTCTTATTCAACATCTTTATCAACGACTTGGATGATGGACTCAAGGGCATCCTGATCAAATGTGCAGATGACACCAAACTGGGAGGGGTGGCTAACACCCCAGAGGACAGGATCACACTTCAAAACGACCTTGACAGATTAGAGAACTGGGCAAAAACAAACAAGATGGATTTTAACAGGGAGAAATGTAAAGTATTGCACTTGGGCAAAAAAATGAGAGGCACAAATACAAGATGGGTGACACCTGGCTTGAGAGCAGTACATGTGAAAAGGATCTAGGAGTCTTGGTTGACCACAAACTTGACATGAGCCAACAGTGTGACGCGGCAGCTAAAAAGCCAATGCAATTCTGGGCTGCATCAATAGGAGTATAGCATCTAGATCAAGGGAAGTAATAGTGCCACTGTATTCTGCTCTGGTCAGACCTCACCTGGAGTACTGTGTCCAGTTCTGGGCACCACAGTTCAAGAAGGACACTGACAAACTGGAACGTGTCCAGAGGAGGGCAACCAAAATGGTCAAAGGCCTGGAAACAATGCCTTATGAGGAACGGCTAAGGGAGCTGGGCATGTTTAGCCTGGAGAAGAGGAGGTTAAGGGGTGATATGATAGCCATGTTCAAATATAGAAAAGGATGTCACATAGAGGAGGGAGAAAGGTTGTTTTCTGCTGCTCCAGAGAAGCAGACACGGAGCAATGGATCCAAACTACAAGAAAGAAGATTCCACCTAAACATTAGGAAGAACTTCCTGACAGTAAGAGCTGTTCGACAGTGGAATTTGCTGCCAAGGAGTGTGGTGGAGTCTCCTTCTTTGGAGGTCTTTAAGCAGAGGCTTGACAACCATATGTCAGGAGTGCTCTGATGGTGTTTCCTGCTTGGCAGGGGGTTGGACTCGATGGCCCTTGTGGTCTCTTCCAACTCTATGATTCTATGATTCTAAAACAATTTGGTCATGCCTGTTCTAGAGCAAGATTTGACAGTTTTATCTACCATAGAAGTTCAGAGTATAAGCTGTGAGCCAAAACACAATAATAGGTACCTCATGCAAGTTACTGCTCCTTACCTTCAGCCTTTCCCCTTGCAGCATGAAGATAATAATACCTTATAGGGTTGTCATAAAGACTGCAGCGACCAAACAACGAGTACAGACAGGATTTGAACAAAAGTTTTATTTCCGCTTTAACATTTGCTCACTGGCTGTAGATCCAAGTGGCTGTTTAACCACATGCTCATATATTTGGCTCGTCTGAGACCAGAGGTTATCGACGACACAGTGACTTTAATAACTTTCAACTGTATCTTCCAAGCTTATTTCACAATATTAAATTAAAGTTTTAAAAACTACCGTTGGCTACGGAAAAGACAAGCTGACATCATTTCTCTGATTACACTGATACCCCAACCATTTCCCCACATTGCTTTTCTGTGGTGTACATGGTATTAACTCCTTTTGCTACCCCAAGTTGCAACAAGCTTGCATGGTGGGTCAGGTTGGAAAAATATTGCATGTCTTGAGGGGGAAACAGTTTTGCATAAGGCTACCTAGCCAGCTCCATAACCAAGAGGGGATTTGAACCACTGTCTTGTCTCAGTAATGGACTGGATGAGAGCCAACAAACTGAAATTCAATCCTAATAAGACTGAGACCCTGAGAGGTTCTCTAGACCTGATGGATGGGAGGTAGCTTGCTCTTGATAGGGAGCCAAGTAGCCAAGTATGGGGGAGTTTGTGAAACACTTTTATTCATAAAAAAATTCCTTCCAGTAGCACCTTAGAGATCAACTAAGTTTGTTATTGGTATGAGCTTTCGTGTGCATGTATCATACCAATAACAAACTCAATTGGTCTCTAAGGTGCTACTGGAAGGACTTTTTTATGAATAAAAGTGTTTTTTTATTTTGTTTTGACTACTACAGACCAACAGAACTACCTACCTATATCTAGAACTTTTATTCATGTTGACCTCTGAAGTTGGATGGGTGTGGCCAGGATCACCTCCAATACAATGTCAGGTGCTGATGGTATGCCGTCATTATTTTATGTCAAGATTTATTTTATATAAAATGACATTTTAATGACATTTGCATGCGGCATAGCTGAATTTAGTAGGAAATGGAAATGAAGCCTCTAATCATCCAAATAAGATAGTAGTAATTAGTGAAGTAGACATGAGGCTAGGTACGAAGAGCTGGCAGTACAAAGCCAAGGGTTTTTAAAGTAAAAGAAAAGAAAAGTTTAAGATCTAGTTTAGTTGACTTTTCAGGATTGCTTGCGCATACAGAGAAAAAAAATCCTAACAAGGGTAAATGGAGCTGTGTATCATCCTCACTTTGTAAAATCCCACTCTTCAGCCAAAAAAAGGCTCCCAGAGCCATTTAGTACAAATAAGAGAGTCCCCATCCTCAGGGTTGCAATTTAAAATTGTACAAAATAAAAAATAAAAATGCATGCCCCTTAAATATGTATGCATCCTTCCAAGAAAATCATCAGTTGATGCAGAATTTAGATGAACTGGAGAAATGAGGAAGTGTGAGAAACTAAAATTGCCGGAATTGAAGCATAGTTTTGCTTCACCGTCGGTTGAGATGAAACCTCTTTGGGGAAGTGGTTTATTTATTTAATAAATTTATATACCGCCCTTCATCCACAGATCCCAGGGCAGTTCACAGAATAAAATACAAGATAAATAATCAAACCAAACCAACAAAACAATAACCTCACCCCACCCCACCCCCAACTTCCTGCAGATACATTTAAAAAGTGTAGAATATTAGGATATTCAAATGGTTGAAGGTGTTGGACTAGGACTAGAACAATCCAGTTTTAAATTGCTGCTCAGACATTAAGCCCATTGACTGACCTTGGGCCAAGCACTATTGCTCAGTCTATCCTATCTCGCATAGATGTTGCGTGGCTGGGTTGGCGGGGGAGATATTTAATCGTATTTTAGGGCTGTTCAGGGGTTTGATCTGGCATTTTCAGGGTTTGATCTGGCATTTTGGAGCTGCCTTGATATTAGCTGAGATGGGCAAACCCAGTCCAGATCCAAACCTCATGCTGATTCGGGAGCCTTGTACTGTCATGCAGTCAGAAGATGGTAGTAAGAGACAGGCACATACACACACCTTTTGACAGCCCTGGATCACTCAATGGACCCAATATGACCTGGAGTGCTCCAGCACTGCCTCAACACAATCCAGCTGAACCCCAGGTTGACTCCAATTGACTCAATCCAGTGCACATCCCTTCTCTACATCTTCACTTGGACAAAGGATGGGGTAAATGTTCAACAAAGGATTAATTTTGACCTCTTATCCCTTTTCAAAATCTCGGGTATTAGCTTTGAATTGGAGAGACATTTCTCAACTTATTTCCAGGTTGCAAAACAATAGAAATTGGTAGTCAAACAGGAATTTCGAGCAGGTGTCTCATTTGACATTCAGTAAAAATAAATACTTAAGAGTAGATTACAGCTTATCTTTACAAAGGCTCGTTTTTGTTTGTTTTATGTGTGCATTCAAAAAAACAACAACCCAGGTTATACAGTCTGTTCTGGGGATGAATCATCAAATGAATAAGAAGCAGGGTTTCAGGATCCTCATATCAGCTTCCCATTATGTGTATGAATTTAGGAATTTAAAATGTGTCATTGACACCTTGCTCCAAAACTCCTAACCTAATGACTGCTCCCAATTGATGTATATAGATCAGGCTTCCTCAACCTTGGCCCTCCAGATGTTTTTGGCCTACAACTCCCATGATCTCTAGCTAGCAGGACCAGTGGTCAGGGATGATGGGAATTGTAGTCTCAAAACATCTGGAGGGTTAGGGCTGCAAAACGAGGTACGACTGTAATCAGTTTCATCCTGGAATATCTGCAGTTGTTCCACCACAACCCAGTTCCAATCACCTTCCCCAGAAAGGGAATATTTGTGATTGGGTGTTAGTTACATTCTAAAGAAAGTATACAATTTTCTATGAGTAATTTTCAATTGCAAAGAAAAAAAATATGAACATCGATAAAATAATATTAGTGCCAATGAGATTTAAAAACCCTTACACCTTTACAACACAACCCTATGCATTGAACCCTAGAGTTCAATTGGACTTGCTCCCAGGTAAATTTGTACAGGAGTGCAGCTTTAATGCCTCTTACAATGTCCTTGGTTAATCCATTTTCCCTATCTAGGGAAAGTCAAATAGCCTGCTTGTGAATAATTCACTCTTAAGCTGTATAAACATGATAGCATCATACATTCTAGAAAGAAACTAATTACAATAATGGACTGGAGTTTGATAATCCAGAATATTGTTTTCTAATCTAATTCCTTTTCTAAGATAATTACTCAGAATCAATCACTGTCAGGATTATAAAAAATAATCAGATTGGGGTGGGAGGCTGCTGATAGCATCGTAGAGTCCAATTTCTTCCCCTGATAAGAAGATCCAATCAATTCACCAACCAGGACTTGTTGAGGATGATTCCAAATGCAGTTTAAATGCATCATTTTGCATTTCCATATCTTTCTTTGGTATTTTATGTGCCATTTATTCGTGGAAAATACACATACACAGCGGACTTGAGATGGTATTTGTAAAATAATTACAACCCTTTTCAACTTATCTAAGGGAAAGCTTTCATTGCAGAAACTACAACCCCCCCCCCTCCTCCAGTCCCTAGCACCACTTTATGATCTATTCAAAAGGATGACAACCAACTGGGTCTTAAATGATTTCTTTTGAGTTTTAGAACAAGAAAACTGTGAAAGAAATACGCCTCTGAAGCCAGTCAACTGCTGTGCCTTTGCATATGGCTGATAATCCACCACAGCTAAGATTGAAACACCTATGTATTTTTGTTGTTGTTGTTTTTTAAAAAAGCTACTTAATGGACATTTCTGCCTACAAAAGAGAAAGTAAACATTCTTTTTTTCTTTTCTTTTTTACTTTGACTACACAGGAATGGTGGGCTTCAAACTGGCCTCCCTTCCCTAATGCATTAAGTCTGAATCTGGATATAGTCCAAGATTGCAAGTAAAAATGATGAAACAGGTTATAAGGAGTTCTGACAGTCTCACCACAATTAATAAGATCAGGCCCCACAGTCAATATTACTTCCCCTATCACCTGCTTGGGGTCCATTGGTTAAGGTTAATATATGTTTAATAAGATGAAGGTGGTGGTGCTTTAAATAATATAATTTTATTGTTTTGTGACACAGCTGTTATATCAGTAAAGAAAACAAGTGGGGAACAGTAAACAGTGTCAGACCATGCATTACATTATCAAATGGATAAATGTGGGGAGGGCACTGAGCTGATGGTTTTGTTTTGCTGAGCATCTATGTACAGTATTTAACTAAATCTCTTTGCATTCCTTCCTGTAATTGGAATACTGCTGAGAGTAGTAGGGAGACCCATATTCCACTCAAAGAGCTACAGTTTGCAGAGTTCCCTGGGAAGAAGGATTGACCGTTCAACCATCCTGGAAGTTGTACCTCTGTGAGGAGATTAGATGTTAGCTCTCAGCGGCCTTAACAAACTACACTTCCCAGGATTTTTGGGGTGGGGGGAAGCCACAACTCTTTAAAGTGGTATGATACAGCTTTAAATGTATAGTGCAGATGGGGCTTGATACTAGACTGGAAGGGCAGGACAGATTCTAGGAGGAAGTACAGAAGTCTGCTTGCTCTGCGTTCGGGGAAGGAACTTGGGAGATGAAACTCTACATCAAGGTGAGCCGACATAGTGTCCTACAAATGTTTTGGACAGCAATTCCAGCCAGCACAGCTCAGGGAGGATGGGAGTTGTCCAAAATATGGAGGGCACTGCTTTGGCTGGAACTCAGAGGAGAGCATCTGATTTGCATGCAGACAATTATCCCAGGTTCAATCACTTGCATCTCCAGTTAGGGCTAGAAAAGACTCCCTGCTTGGAGAGCCTCTGCCAGTCAGCATAGATCAGGCATGTCCAAAGTCTGGCCCGGGGGCCAAATCCGGCCCGCCCGTCAGTTTAATCTGGCCCCACTGGCAGGTTATTTCCTGGGTGTGGGCGTGGGCAGTGGTTCCACTGGGCAGTTATTTGCTGCAGCTTGCTAACCCACCCGCCGGTCAGCTCACCATGTGGCTCTTGGTACCAGTCATTCAATGGTTTGCACATGCACCTTGCTCTTTACTCTGGTAGTTGGCCGGCTCACGTATGTGCCCTGCGTGCAGCTCAAGGACCCGTCCAGCTGTCATCTTGCACATGCGCCCTCCTCCCTATCCCTGTTGGTTGTGTGCTCGCGCTGGCGCCCTGTGTGCAGCTCTAGGTCCCCTCCACCCGTCAGCTCTTGCATGTGCCCACCTCTGTATGTCGTCCATCTGCCAGTTCTCACAGGTGGCCGGCATTTGGCCTTCTCTCCCGCCCACCATTTGGCTCATGCTGCCATGCTCTGGTCATCTCTCACTCTCGCCCGCCGTTCGTCTCTCCCTCTGTGCTGCCTGTGATCTGAGCCAAAAGGTATATGAAAAGTATTCCGTGACTAATTCTTTAAAAAAGGTCCGGGACTTTGGGGGGAAATCCTTAAAAAAAAAGGTCAACAACTTTGGTCGGCCCTCATGCATGTTCACTTCATCAAATCTGGCCCTCTTTGAAAAAAGTTTGGATACCCCTGGCACAAACAATACTGAGCTGAGATGAATGGCCAAAGCCTAACTCAGTATAAAGCAGCTCTGTGCCCTAAAACTTAGCAGGTGGGTTCCACTCACTTATAACTTCAGGGAATCACCCAGAGAGACTCTAAGCAGAGGCAGATTTAGGGTGTGCGACTGGTTCACCTGCACCTGGCACCGAGCCAAGGAGGAACCACAGCAGGACCGCAACAAT